AACAATGGTTGCGCTTCGTACTGCATTGCCTTTTTATAGGTGAAATCTGAGAAATGCTTCAAAAGCAAGAGAATCATGGCAAATAGTGAAGGAAGAAGAAGTTCCCCCAAAGCAACAGCTGGGTTGCGAATATGCAGGGTAAAATTTTTCCATACCAGGAGATAAAATTGCTTTATGAACTTCTTCATCACTCCGAAAAATGATAAGAAAATATAATAAATTTTTATTTGGCTCGTGAAGAAAAAATATTTCGTAAAAATTTCAATTAAATTCTATTCTGCGTAGTCTTAATCCGCTAAAATTGAAGTGGTTAATCCACGTAATGCTTACGCAAACTGTAGCAAACACATTAATTTTGTGATATAGCTTCCTGTTTATGTTACCATGGAAATTATTTTGCTATCTTTTTTTTTCTCCAATCATAAGAGAAACAAAAACTTCCGGGTTAACCTTAATATTATGTATTAACTTAATGGATTGGAGTTCTTATCCAATCATAATAATAAGGCTACGAGCACTACGGCTATTCGGCCCCGGGATTTAAAGAGGGTGAGGTTGGGTTTATTAAAAAAAAAATTAAAAATATTATTGTTGGGTTTGTAAAACAAAATTCGGTATCAAATGGAAGATAATTGAGTGGACTATATGCTTGTACACTTGCTTCTTCAATTAAAATAAACTGGGGGACATCTATAAATGACGTTACATGTCTTTTTTAAAAAAAAAAGGGGGGGGGGTCATATTTTTTTTTTGTGATGATGGCTGACGGTGGGGGGGGGGGATGGGCTTGAGCAATGTGACGTCAGATGAAAAACAGAATATTATGTCCGGGGTGCAGTGACTTTGATAGTCGAGAGAATTTATGTCAAAATGTGGAGACGGGAGTGATAGAATTAGGACTAACACATGAAGTGGGGAACAAAATGGTTGACCGCGAGGGTGGGGTAGGGGTGGTGATCTGAGTAAATGTGCTAGGGCAGGGATACTGACTTAACCTTTATACAGCGCTGCAGGCCAACTCCGTTTCAAACATTGACCCCCACCCCCCCCACACACACACACACAGTATACATTATATTGTAATAATACTTAAAATATTAAAATAATTAAATAATTTAGTTATCATAGACGAAGCTGGATCATCTCTTCAGGAATGAAAAGAGTGAACTGTGCAGGCCCAAATGTGTCGTACTTTGCCTTTAGTGTCCAATTAAACTGCAGCTCTGTTAGCTCCATCTGCAAATTTACAGGTGCAGGTTTCACGTCTATGATAAATGGGTTACGAAACAGCTCAAAATTGCATTTCTTTGCTTCAAAGTGCCGTACAAACTCGGCGTGAAGTAAGCTAGGTTTTCTGGAAAGTGTGCATTGGGAAACACCATAGCGTTGACTTGGATATAACTGTACGAAAGTGGCCCGTGGGCCTTGAGTTTGACACATGCGCCTTGGAAAGATCCTGAACATCACATGGCCAATCACCATCACCAAAAAAGACTTACTGAAAAGGACATACCAGGAGCCTATTGATGAAGAATTCATAAGGAAAAATAAATAGAGGTGGATAGGACACAATCTCTGATGAACCCCAGATAACATCATCAGATATTCCCTATTATGAAATTCACCGGGAAAAAAGAAAGAGTGTAATCCCTAAAAATAAATTTTAATGGAGACGCGATCTTGAGGCAGACACACAAAGTATGGGAGGCATTTTGTTGCCAATCCCATTCATAAACTGAATTCAACCCGGTCGTGACTTCCCCCAGCTTAATCATTTGGCACAGTCATGTCGTGACATGGATTAGCGTCAAGGAAAGGGGTGCATAAATCAAGGGTGCTGAAGACAGTCGCACAAAGTCAAAATGCAGGGGTGTATTATTGGTGCATACTTAAATCCGGATTTTCTTTCGGATCATTTTGAGGTGGCATTTAAACGTTCGTGTGTGAAACGCCAAAATTAGTCATACAAATTATCAAAGACATCTTTAACGCCGCATCAGCGGGACATGAACTAAATTCATTCCAGATGTGGCGCCCTTGAGGCATCCGAATGCATTTTCCCTAGCTTATACTCACCTCTAACATTTTTACAGTCCCCAGAAAATTGTTGATAAATTCAAAATACAATGATGGAAGGTAGTAAATAATTTAATGTAGTTTTGCGAAAAGATGCCAGGTTTTTTTTTAAATTTAGGTGTCAGTTAACCATAGAAACATCGCGTTAGCCCAGCAATCCCTACGACTGCAGTTGCCCTATAAATATTTCAAAGTTTTACCAGAGTCAAACAGAGAAAAAAAACTGTTAGGGAGAAGTTCTATTCAATTATATGGGTTGTCAAAACGGGCTATTTTCATAAAGCGTATAATATACAGTATGTGAACGCCATTTTTATATAAATAAAACATGAGTTGACTACTAAATAACCTTATAAATATTTATTAATGTGTAATTTTATCTGAAGGAAATGGTACAAAAATTAAGCATACATTTCACAATATTTAGTTGATTGAAATAATTCTTTGGAATTTCAAAACACTGCAATTTTTTTTCAGATAAATTACAAATCACCTCTTCAATATAACCCCCCTCCCCCCCAGGGAGATTATGCCTGAAAGAAACCCTGCCTGCAACTTAACCAGTGGCCATTTCTCGCAAACCTGTACTGATTCTCTCAGTGATCGTAGTTTCAAAATAAAATAATTATAATTGTTGTATAAACAAAAAATGTTAAATATATCTGAATTTTAGTGTTATTAAGTGCAATTCTTTATTACAACATTCCACTTTTCATGTGACGTCACATTGCTTAAGGCCCCCCCCCAGCCCCCGCCCCATAGTCACACATCGTTACAAAAATCTGCCCCCCCCCCCCCGACGCGTGACGTCCTTTATGGATGGCCCCTAAAGGGGGAGGGGTAAAGAATTTGTGACACTTTGTTACAGGGGGAGGGTTGGTCTAAAAAGGTCATTTTTTTGCGTGACGTAATTTGCGAACAACCCGTAACTCCTAATTTATTTCGCGATTGGGGCTCTATACACTCTATTTAAGAACGGAACAGTGGTTTTAAAAATAAAAAAACATGGCTGCGCCCTTAGTAATCTTAAAAAGAACTAATTGTCGGCGTATTAAACAAGTTATTTTATTTTCATATTCACTCAAAAATTATTCTACTGAGACAATTAAATCTATCCTTCAAGGACAGAATAATAGAACTAATCTTTCTTTTAAGGTATGTTTATTAAATTTTGGTATCAAAAGTGAGAGGTTGGGTTTATTAAAAAAATATTTCAAATATTATTGTTAAGTTTGTAAGATAAAATTTGGTATCCAATGAAAGATAAATTGAATGGACCATATGTTTGTAAAACTAATTCTTCAGTTTAACTAAAATAAACTACCACAAATGACATCCGAATAGAATTTATTCTAATGGGCCCCGGGTGCTAATAGTGGCGATGCATGTCCGGTTCCATTTTGACTCGTTTCATAATGCAGGTAGCTCCGATATAGAGTTCACATCCTCCGCTAGGAATCTTGGTTACATTCTTTCTGACAATAAGTCTCTCAATAATCATATTTCTCAAATCTCTTGCTCTGCATACACCGCTATACGTCAGATCAGCTCCATCCGCCACTACCTCACAGTCAGCGCAACAAAAACACTAGTCTGTGCTCTTGTTCTAGCTCATCTTGACTATTGTAACTCTCTTCAGTCAGGTTCACCAAAATATTTCATAGAAAAACAGCAGAAAGTTCAAAAATCAGTTGCTAGGTTACTTCTTAAGTTTTAAGGCAAAGAAATGTGATCACGTCATTCCACTACTTCACTCACTTCATTGGCTCCCCATGCAGGCACGCATTGATTACAAGCTGTCTGTTCTTTGCTACAACTTTTTCTCTGGTTCCTGTCCTTCCTATCTTACTGAATTCTTACTGTCTATTCACCCCTTTGAAAACATCGTTCCTCCGCAGACACGCATATTCTTTCTGTTCCAGAACACACTCTAAAACATATGGTGAATGATCTTTCTCTATCTACGCCCCCAAACAATGGCATTCTCTCCCACTACACATCCGCAATATACCGACCATACAGGCCTTCAAAACTGCACTCAAAACACATCTCTTTTAAACTCTACTATCCTGACTGGTAACACCCCCCCCCCCCACCCTTTTCCCCCATTGCAGATAAACGATGCTGCTGGTTGTTGTCCATGGCTTAACATTTAAAAGTTTCCCCCCCCCCCCACCCTTTTCCCCCATTGCAGATAAACGATGCTGCTGGTTGTTGTCCATGGCTTAACATTTAAAAGTTTTGGGGTGGGTGGTGTAAATATACATTTGTTTTTGTTTTGGTTTTGTTGTTATATAGCTGTTTTTTTATTAATTAAATGTATGTTATTTTTTTAATGTCATGATTATGTTTGCTAATATTTTTATGTACAGAGCGGTAAGCCTAGCCCTAGGCTGGGGTACACTGTATAAAACCACTAATAATAATAATATTTTTCACACTGGATTTGGCTGAAAAATGTGTAAAATACACCAACTATTCATCTACAATGGGACCTTCTAAACTTTCCATCAGTAGCGGTTGGTTGATATTGCAACAGATGAATGTTACACATTTCTAGGACAACTAGTGTGCATGTCAAGTGTACAAAAAATACTGGTCAACTTATATAATCTATCATGAATTTTGGGCTAATGCTTTATGCCCAAAAACAAAATTATCCAAATATTGTCATATCAGATATTGAAATCATACAATTCATTCATATTGACCAGTTGATAAATGGATATCACACTAAGAAAAGATAACAGCCTGAGACTAATCCTTTTTTCCATTTTGTTGATATTGCCAGCTATAATATAATCATGACTATTGAAAAGAAAATACTGATATAGATGAACTATGCCGTCTAATATTTAGCTCTCAATTGCCTTCACAGAGGAAATTATTTGAGCATTAGGAGATTTACTAAACTGATAATGTTCCATTTGCCTCAAATGTGAATAACACCAAACAAAAAACAAAATCAAAAGTAGCACATGCGACACTTACCTTTTTTTTTAATAATAAGAAACTGTCCGAGTACCATGAAGTTTAAATTGTCTACTAATATGATTTTTAATCTGTAAATAACTTTAAAAAGGCAAAAATAATAATAACCAGCAATTTTTGTGAATACTTTGTGGAGCGTTGGGAATTAAATCTTTAAAAATTATTTTACCTTTTTGACAAATTTTACAGAATATTTTATATTTTGGTCAAATGCTCATAAAATGTTCTAAATTATGCATAAGTCATACAAAAATGATTTTTAATTCTGAATAAACAGCTTTTTTTTTAGGAATGCCATGTAGTTTGTTTTTTCTTTCTTTGCATCTGATCACCAAAACAATTTATTATACATTTTCATTAAAAAAAAAATGATGCATTATTTTTCTCACAACTTCTAAGTGTTGAACTTATATGTTAGAAACAAACATCTCTATAAGCCTCATGCATTTCCCCACAATTGGATATATAACATAATGAACTTTAGACATGGATTCTAAATGTTATTGACACCTTTGTAAGGTCATTAGAAATCTCAAGAAAAACATAAAAATTAAAGGAATGTTAAGAGTTAACATTCTTATTGCCTTATGGTCGTTAAAAATTATTTATAAAAAATTAATTTTACTTCAGGGTTGGGTAAAGAATGTTCAACGCCACAAAGGTGTGACATTCCTTCATGTGAATGATGGATCTGGGCCACAACATATTCAAGTTGTCATTCCACAAGATCTTGCTGATGATCTGCAAGTAACATTTGGAAGTTGTGTTAAAGTTAATGGCAGCCTGCAAGAAAGCATCGGGAAGGGCCAAAGTGTTGAAGTATTAACAAATTCTTGTGAAGTCATTGGTCCTTGTAATGTGAATGTAAGTATCTCTTTTGGACACATAAATGATGCATTCATCACCAAAAAAGTACTTACTGAATTTTTTTATATAATTTTTCTATCAAGCTAATTATATATCTTTATATAATTAGCTCTTGGCTTTTATTTTCGTGATTATGAAAATCTTTCAAATTTTATTGTGGCTCACTAACGTAATAGGAGAGAATGAATTTAAAATTTAAATAATTGGAAGCAACGAAAATTTTTGCTGTAAGGAACTTCAGACTGTCATATAGTTTGAATAAAGTTTTTTACATTGAAATTTTTAAAATGTGCTAATTAAATATTGCCTTAATGACATTGAAAGGAAAATTTTTAAACTATTTTTTATAAAAAATATAGTCAAATTTAAAATAAAAACTATTTTAAATAGATCTTGAGTTGTTTTTTTTATCCATTGCCCATCATAAAGTTCTTCACCATTCCTCCTTAAGGGCCATAAGCTATTCAGCATATCATTTTGTTATGGCTTTTTTTTTTTTTGTTGATGTTGTTGCAGGAATACCCTCTAAAACAAAGAACAAGGCACCCAGCTATATACACCAGAGACTTTCTCCACCTCAGACCTAAAACAAACATTTTTTCTGCTTTGTTAAGAATTAGAAATGTTGCATCTATGGCTGTGCATACGTTTTTTCAGGTAATAAGGTCATGTATAGTGTACCAAGGTAAAAAGTTTAAGCATCTGAATCATTGACCAGTTTTACTTTGTTTAATGATTTCATTTCTCATTCTAAAGGATTCTCAATTTAAAAAAAGGAATTATTTATTTTCATTTACTTGAGTGTCTCTCTCCATGTCATTCCTATTGCCTGAGACTTAGTCAGGGTATTTTAGTGATGTGTCTCATCATTTCTTTCACCAACACTCAATTTTTTGACACTGTTTTTTTATAACTTAAGTCTTGATCATTTTCAGTTAATTTTCTTATGAATAGAAAAAAAAACGTCATGCCACACTGTTTTTATAGTTAAGCTTCATTAGAGATTAAAAAATAAAATAATTATAGACTGCTTTATCTGCTTTCAACTTTTTGTCTGCTATACAGAATTTTAACCATGTAAATAGAAAAGTGAAGCTTAAATAAGCAGTTCTTAACCTTAAAATGCCATAAAAACTCTTTTTTCATCCATTTTTTTTCCTTTTCATCACATAACTACCAAAACACACTGATGCACATTGTTTGTAAACCACAGCAATAGATCATTGGAGTTATTAATTTGCAAAGAAGTTTTTCAGCCCCTTAGTGTTATATTTCAAACTTCATACCTAAAACAGCTATTTTGCTTTTGATATATACCAGAAAAAAATAATTTTATAATGTGTAATTTTATTCCTCAGCAAGAAGGTTATTTATTTATTCATACTCCAATCTTAACATCCAGTGATTGCGAAGGGGCATGTGAAGTTTTCAAAGCAGAGGTAACTATTTTATCAAATTAATGTTCTCTTGATAGGGGAATTGATTGTGCTTACTTTTAATTTATAGATATGTTTTTACAAATACAAACATATTGAATATAGATATATAAGTATATATAATATATATTTATACATATAGATATATACATATATATATATATATATATATATATATTTATATATATATTTATATATACATATATATATATATATATAGTGTTTGTTTTTTAAAAGTTTATACTGCAAATATGATTTTGTTTGACATATAATTATTTGTTCCATAAAATGTTGATTAAAAATGTCCTGGTTTTATAATTGGTGGCTGTAAATGTTGAGATTAAGACCTAGTATTAGAGAGACAAATCTGTAGTTAAAATATTTTTTCTCAATGCAACTGTTCAGCCCCTCAAATCAGATATCTTATCGGCACTTGACAGCGATACAGATGATGATTTTGGAAAAGCCCCAAAGGATGACAAAACTAAAGATGAAATTTCACGGCCCAGCTTTTTTTTCAAGCAGCCAGCATATCTAACAGTGTCAGGGCAACTTCACCTTGAAATTATGACAGGGTATGTAAAATTTATCACATTTTCCAGCAGTGTATATTTTAAAAAAAATTAAAATTCCTAAAGTGACTCTCTTACATTTATGTTCATTATAGCAAACTGGCCCAGAGTTAAAAGGAAAAATTTTTAATTTTGGTCTTTGTTCTTTTTCATTTAACATTTGATTGGAACAGACTATATTAAATTTGTCCATGGAACCAAAATTATCAGTAATTCCATTGGTTAAACATAAGACTCTAAATGAGTTTTAAAAAATATTGCCTATTGAAGGAGGGGTTGGGGGGGGGGGGGGTAAAAAACTTTTAATTAAAAGTTAAAAAAAAATTTTTTTTAAATTATCAGTAATTCCATTGGTTAAACATAAGACTCTAAATGAGTTTTAAAAAATATTGCCTATTGAAGGAGGGGTTGGGGGGAGGGGGGATAAAAACCTTTCAATTAAATGTAAAAACATAATTTTTTTAAATGCCAGTAAAGTGTTTTTATATTTTTATTTTTAGGGCATTCAAAAAAGTGTACAACTTTGGTCCAACTTTTCGAGCAGAAAATTCTAGAGGCAGTTTTCATCTTTCTGAGTTTTATATGGTAGAGGCGGAATTAGCTTTTATAGAGTCTATGGATGATTTGTCAGAGGTTTGTACATCAGTCAAAATGAACTTCAACTACCTTATGATTTTATGCTTGATTTTGAATTGGCTAAGTTAAAAAAAAAGTCATTTAAAAATAATTCTGTAAGTGTAAACTTCAAAAAAGTAACACTAGATTTCTCAACTAAGTTCTCAAATAGGACTGGGCAGCAAAGCTCAAAATAGAGACCGTAAAACCTTGTTTTTTAAATGTCAGTTTTAATGTGGTTTCACTTATAATTTTGCAAAGAATTTGTTAAATGTGAAAGTGTTATCTTATTTTAAATTAAATTTTTTTTTTTTGTTTAGTTTTTAAATTTTTTCTTGTGTGGTGGTGAAAAGCAATGTGGTCAGTGGTTATCAGAGTAGGCAAAATTTACACCCAAAGTTGATAAGATAACAAATTAGTGGAAGTGATTATTTCAATAAAAATTATTATCTTCAGTTTATTTCTTTAGGTGATGGAGAAACTGGTCAAGTTTGTGTATAAAACAGTTTGGGATTCCTGTCCTGAAGATGTTTCTCTTTTTTCAAATTTTGTTGCAAGTCCACACTATAAGGTGGGTATGTTTACCTTATAACTTTAAATGAACAGTTGTCACCATTTCTTATAGACCCATAATTTTATCAGCCTGAAATGAAAAAGCTTTCTTGTTTTTTTATTTTTTGCTCTTGTTGCTCTTTTTTAAAAAATTTACTTATTATTATTTTTCTTTAAAAATTATTTCTTAGGAAAGAACAAGAAAAATGATGGAATCTGATTTTCAAAGGTAATTTTGTAAAAAAAAAACTGATGGCCCATTTGAAATTGAATTGACAGTTTATCTAAAATGATTTTTACATATCAATCAGTCAAAATCAATATATTTTTTTCATCCATAATATATTACTTTATTGAATTAATGTAATTTTAAAATAATTGATTGCAAAATGCCTTATGTTTTATTTTACTACCTTATCATGAGTTAACAGGAAAGTGGTGAGGCTGGATCCTCATTCCACCACTTTATTTATTGCTAAGTGTTTTATATATCTGATAGCTAAAGAATTTTAAGGGTATTTCATTATGTCACCACCTGCTATCTCCAGGATGACGTACACTGATGCCATTGATGTTTTGTCAAAATCGGGAGAACTTTTTAAATACAAACCCCATGTAAGTACATTCCCATAGTGCCCTCGTTTCTAACCAGCACACAAACCCAGTTCAGGTTGATACTTCTTCTCTGTGGCTTATAGCCTGAGAATGACCTTGCTGACCTCCCAGTATTTCCAGGGGCACAGTTAAATCCCCCTCCCCCCCCTCCTCCCCCTCTAATCGTTTGTTCCATGTTTTAAACATTGTTTAGCAGAACAAGTATAATTTTTAGTAACAGTTTAGTGGTTGATAGAAAGCCAAGGGCTTGAGGTTTCTCTGGAAAGGGGGGGGGGGGTAACTAAACCTGAGGGTTTATTTAAACCCTGTGGGTTTGGAAAGTTGAATAAGCTAAGATTGAAAATTTATTCACACCAAGCCTGGAAAGTTTTGGCAGCATAGGCAGAGAGCCCCTCTGTGTAAAACAAGGGATGAACCAACATGTGTAACCCTATTCATGAATCGTATATCCTTATTCATATAATGGAATAAGTGCTTGCGATACATTATTAATGGAAAAAATCCAGATAATCTAAAGAAGAAAAAAATACTTGAAAAAAAACAGCAACAGAAATGTGACTTTTTTTTAAAGGTGTTAATTAAAAATGATTTTTTTGTATTGTAATTCTAATATTGTACCATTTGCTGTTAAAAATATTACATTCTCTCTATATTTCTAGTGGGGATGTGACTTGAAGAAAGAACACGAGATGTATCTTACCAAAGTTGTTAATGATCGACCTGTATTTATCACAGACTACCCAGCTGATATAAAGCCTTTCTATGCAAGAAGAAACAATGATGGATTAACTGTAAGTGGAATCATTTACTCACTTTATATCTGAAGACTTGTGTGCAGTTAAATATTTGTCAAAATGAAGCTTAAGGCTCTTTGGTCACTGCCAATTTTATATAAGCATATTATTAAGTATTTTTATGCTATTTGAGTCATTAGAGATTTATTTTCATTTTCAGGTCTCTGCACTAGACCTCCTGGTCCCTGGAGTGGGAGAGCTCTGTGGAAGTAGCCTCAGGGAGGAGAGAGCTGATGTACTGGGGGAAATAATGAAAAAACAGGGCATACTGGAACAATTATCATGGTAATAGTCCTCTCTCTTTATTTAAGGAATGATGATGAATAGGAGACACTGATTTTATGAACTATAAGAATATATTTTAAGCACTATTGTTCAAAATAGTTATTGGATGTGCTGCACTCATGTTTATCTATCTTAATTAGGTCTTTGAACATTAGATGTTAAAAAAAACGCTCAAATATTCACCAACAGAAAATCAGCAGTAATCAAATTGAATAGAATTTAATCAGCCCTTTCTTGCTCTTATAATTTCGAGGTACCATGAACTTCGCCAGTATGGAACATGCCCCCATGGTGGTTTTGGACTGGGATTTGAAAGACTGTTGTTAGCTATATTGGGAGCAGAAAGCTTAAAAGATGTCATACCATTCCCACGATGGCCCAGAAATTGTCTAACATAAGCATATGTATTATGGATATTATTTGAATCTAAGAGAATGTTGAAAATGTAATATTTCTTGCTTTTATTTTTTCTGTGACGTAATGTATGAATGTAATATGTTAAAACTATTAGCTAATTTGCTGATTAACTTGAGCTAATTTGCTGATTAACTTGAGCTAATTTGATTATTAACTTGAGCTAATTTGCTGATTAACTTGAGCTAATTTGATTATTAACTTGAGCTAATTTGATTATTAGCTTGGTCTATTTCAGATGGTTATGCATATAATATAATCACAAAACCTTAAGGAACATACAAACATTTAAACAGAGCTCCAGGATTGGCTTTATTTTTTATTTAAAAAAAATGTTTCCACATATTTTTCTTATTGAACAGTGTTACTGCCACAAATACAAATACTTCAATATTAATTCTGGTAATTTTCATGTAAACACAACTTTGTTTTTTATATACACAAATTTTGTGTAAATAGACAGTGGTACAGAGTAGCTTCAATTTACATATGCGTCAGTTTATATTTATATGCTAAATTTGGACTAGAAACTAAATACTGATACAACGTTACACAAGCAAATGAGCATTTGCAGACCATAAGAAGGCATTCAGTACCATGATTAATTAAAATAAATATACACTGATTGCATTATGTGATGAAAGTTTTAATCTAAATGGATGAAATGAAACTCGAGCAAAAGCATATCATTAATGGAGTGGAGAAAACAATGGTGTCTGTTAAAGTCAAATCAGGCCCAGTAGTAGAATATTATTCAAATAAAAGCATGAGATGTGAACACTGCTAGCTTTGAATGCTTTTTGCAACCTTACTATTTTGTTACTGAGGGAGAGAGTAGAGATGTATTTACTGAGGGGGGGGGGGGAGTAGAGATGTATTTTTAAAGCCAACTTCATATAACAAATTTAATCTTTGATATGATACACAAAGTAAAGTAGTTACTTTCATTTTTCCTGGTTAGGTTTATAACAAAGAATAAAAATGGTTAACCTAATATGTTCAGTTTCTTTGGGGGGGGGGGGGGGAGTAGAGATGTATTTTTAAAGCCAACTTCATATAACAAATTTAATCTTTGATATGATACACAAAATAAAGTAGTTACTTTCATTTTTCCTGGTTAGGTTTATAACAAAGAATAAAAATGGTTAACCTAATATGTTCAGTTTCTTTTTTTTTAAAGTCAAAGAATATTTATAATTTACTAGTACTTGCTAAAAGACATCTTTAACTTTAATGCTCCTTTGATCTTTTGTAATTATTCAAAAAATGGCTTAAGTGGAATATGAATGGAATCAATCATGAATGAGTTGGCATCTTTTAAACACAAAAAGCGCAATACTATACACATATTTAACAATTTTACTAACAGTAAAACAGCACTCGATACATTATGCTTACACCACAAGTGTTTTAAAAAAATAAAGTTTAGTTTTCTGGATTTTTTATCATCAAAGACGGCTGATAATATCAACATATAATCAGGGACAGAGATGCTTTAAACCAGTGGTTCTCTACCTTCCTAATGCCGCAACCATTTAATACAGTTCCTCATGTTGTGACCCCAAACCATCAAATTTTTGTAGCTACTTCATAAATATGTGTTTTCTGATGGTCATAGGTGACCCCTGTGTAAGGGTTGTTCGACCCCCAAAGGGGTGGCGACACACAGGTTAAGAACAGCTTCTTTAAACAATGAGACAATCTGGTGATTTTCCAAATTGTCAAAGGATCTGAATTTCCAATGACATTGTTTCAGTTGTCAAGCAATTAGAGATTAGACATTACATGAGTGTTTTTCCATCTAATTCAACCAAATTTAAAAAAACCTAGATAAAATATATGAAGTTTTTTTAAAAAAAAAACAAGGCTTCTGTTTGTTTGTATACTGTTTAATCAAAATTTCAAAGTTTAACAAAAAATTATACTATCACTGATCAATTATTATTAATTGACTAGCCATCGACTTCAGTGCAACCGAGAGAACATGATTCCCAAGCTTTTACAAAAATGAATCAATCTTTTTCCTGGCAAGAATCTCAATTCTGTTTTATTGAAAAAATAAAATCTTGTGACAGATATGTTTAATGTACAAACACAATTATTGCCAGAATTAGAATTAGAATGCTTCAAAATTTGTTCATTAAAAAATAATTGATTACTCATGGTGATTAATTGGACTGAACTTAATATTTTAAAAAAACAACCAAAAAAAAAAACATTTTACCAAATACATAAAGTACTTATGGAGAAAAGCACAATTTCAGTTGCCACACTTAACATCCTGGTACTGATCTGCAAAAAAGAAAATGATTTTAGTTAAAGCCAAAAATTTTTCAAGCACTCATTGGGAGCAAGTGTATGGGGTAAAATAAAAAATATAATTAATTTGTTACAAAAAATATTATTTTCTACTTACCATCAAGAAACCGAACTACCCTCAACTGTAAGAAATAATTCTAAAATATGTCGTTCATTTTACTAAAGCATCTATTTTGATGTTGAAAATAAAAGGATAAAATTTAAATTAAAAAAAATCAGGATTTAATTTGGATATGTTTCAAGTAATATTTATTAAGGGGGAACTCCCATGATAAACAATTACATTCACCCACGACCTGTTTAACAGCCATGTCATCTCATTTCATTTTTCATGAAAGGAGTACAACTTCTCATCGGATATTCTCCTCTGTAATGAATATGATCAATCTCACCTTTCAAAACCAACGAGTGCCTCTGTGACGCGATGTCTGATCATAAAATTTGCTAAAATATCTGCAACCTGCAAGAAAAATTAAATATTGTGGGGCACTTGAAATGTGTTCGTCATGCGTTTTTTTTTTAAAATGGTAAAATCAATCCAATGATTGTTAATTGAAACAAGATATAAAACTAAGAACATTTATATGTGGAAAGAACCTAAATAATAAAGATGGAACAAGTAATCAAAAGTAATTATGTTTTTTTTTAATAAGTGATGACTTTGCACTATATATTACTCAATATTCCTTAATTCAGTTAGCCCTCCCATAATTGATGAATTTTATTTCAAGATAAATATCAAATAGTCCAAACTAAATGAAATATATGGTAGTCATATTAACCTCAATGTTTCTTTTGAAAAATAATAATACAAATAATTATTTTTTTAGCAACATAGCAAGATCAATGGGGACATCAAGGAAGAAGGCTGAAGCTAGGGTTAAGGCCGTAGGGGCAAGTCAGGCTTTTTGCCTCCTCCAATACCAAGACAAAAAACTCTGCAGTGAGCAGAAAATATCCGCTCCTAAACATAAAAAGATGCCACTCTGGGTGGACTACCACCTACACCCGCCGCAGTATTTGGTCTGAATCATTCATCTTTATTCAACCAAGCGACACTGGTGAATGGAAGTGAAATCTACTCTACCTTTTCTGGCACATCCTCATGTACTGCATGGCCACATTGTGGTAACAAGTTCATCTGAAACTTTCCTGGAAAACATAAGATTAAGATTTACCAAAGATAACTTACTTTAAAAATTACATTTTAGACTCAATTGACACAATAAATATTCATTGTTAGTGATTATAGCATTGAGTTAACATATTTTTATACTATTTAATTGGTATGCCAAAAAACATCCTATGGTTAAAAATTAGGTATTACCAGTATCTCATGCATGAGCCAAAAATCATGGCAACAATAATCTTGAATGACCAGTCTGAAGGTTGATATAATGTAACAACTAAAAATTAGATACAAAAATTGGTGATTTATTTACCTTGCATTTGACCAATGGTGAGGTCTTTATCCAGCCTATCTGGACCTTAAAGACATATTAAAAGTCTATTTTGAAATGCATCACAGTGCACTATTTTTTTTCTTAAGTAAATGAATTACATACAAGAAAATGGTAAAATTCATGCTTCATATTCCAGTAACAGACCTGGTAACACCGGAATTCCCAAAATAATACAATATAGTCCAAGGGTAGAACTTAACATTCTCAAAATCATAAAACACTTTATTGTAATGGTAATCTTAAATAAATATACATAATGTATACAATTCGCATCACAAGTCTAATAAAGGTCACTTCTCAAAGTAGATGACTAACATGTATATACAGTGCATTATGCAAATAAAAATGTACCCATCTTTTGCCACTTTGATAGACGAAGATGTGGTGGGGGAGCGTAAATTGAGGATGCCTGCTCAAGTCACCTGAACAAAAAAGTGGCTGGGGTTTGAGTAGGAGGCTAAGCCCACTTCCCAGAAATTTTTTCATAAATTTAAAATGTAGGGATGCACTTTCTTCTTATATTTAAGGGGGCCCACGATCAATTTGTTGATCATTCTGGCTCCTGGTTTAAATTCAGAGTTTGCCTTCTCTTAGATGGGTTGCCATCCAAGGCTAACGAGTCCCATCCACCCGGGTTGCTTGGGATGTTGGCTTTGGTGGGAATTGAACTACAGACCACCAGCTATTTGATTTGAGTCACTTTAGACCGCTCGGCCACCCAGCACCCTTTTACACATACCTGAATATAGTTTTGCATCATTCTACACTTTAACAGAATCCTTGTGGAAAATTAGCTTCCCCTTACCTAGCTGTGTTTATATAAATCCTTTTTATTTTAGTAGTTACTAAATTTAAATAGTAAAATTGTTCAATAATTTATTTCAAATTTTTTGCCAAAATCTAAAGCTGCTGTGCAGGGCAGTTGAAAATGCATTTTTAAACATTACTGTGTCTCTATTTGAAGAGTTCATTGGAAAACGCAAAGCAAAAATAGGATGATTATTACAAAAGAAGGTGGGGTTATTTTAGAGCCTTTAAAAATATTTACATAACTACCTCTACCCCACCTGTACCCCACCTGTACGCTTCCAAGTCAACACCACCCCTTTCCCCTCTCAGTGCAAACACTATTTAATTATGGATGGTCGCTAGCCAATCTTATTATTGTTCTGTCAATTTACCGACTGGGTGTGGAAGGAGCTAAAACTAACAACCCAAAATAATTTTATTTATTAATTAACTTTTTTTAAAAATCCTTAAAACCACTGGAATATATACTTTTACATTTGGTTGTGGTACTAAATAGTCGATAAGAAAAACTCTGACAATAAAATCACAGAATTAGATAAATTCCTACGTAAAGAATGCAAAAGTACGGGCATATTTGTTTATTTGTGCAGGCTAAAAACTTAGTTACAGATTACCTGCTAGAATCAGCATCTTTGGTGCTGCACAAGACAAAAATTTCTGTGACAACCCTTCAAACCAACCTGTATGATTTTTGGCATTTAAGAAAATAAAAATTAACATTTAATAAATGCACAGATACAAGTAAAGAAAACATAAAACAGGGTTCCCACCCTAACAAGGCTGGATTGGTAACAGTTTGCATGATTTAGATCTTAACATATTTTACTTTAAAACAATGAAGTAAGTGGCTATTCTAACCCGGAAAAGAGTGAGAGGTTGGGTTTATATAAAAAATATTTAAAATATTATTGTTGGGTTTGCAAGACCAAATTTGGTATCAAATCAAAGATAATTGAATGAACTATATGTTTGTAAACTTATTTCTTCAGGTTCACTAAAATAAAATACCAAAATGACATCCAAATAGCCATTTAGTCTAAAGGTACCCGTGTAAGAATAGCTGCAGCCTTAAAACAAATTGTACTTGTAGAATATAAGAAAATGATCATACCCTCCCAGAATTTCTCAGTCTGGGACAAATCTATCCTCCATGTGTACTTGTGAGGACTCTGGTATGGGAAAATTTAAAAATAATAAATTAACTTGAATAAATTTGAGGTTTTAAATTCAACTGTTCCTCAGAAGAAAAATAACACAAAAATATGACTACAGAAATGTTATCTCTGTCTATTAATGTCCAACTCACTGAAGAAATACCTACTTGGTTTGAACCAGGTGTTTTGAAAGGACTTTGAGATGAAGAACTGGGTAATGTTGCTGTTGTCGTCTCCTCATCCTTCTCTTCCTCAATGGTGTCTTGGAAAGTTCTGTGCTGATGTTCCATCTCTTCTGGACCTGTTTCATCTGAGCTGATGCTGAAATGGTATTTAATAATTATTGGTTGCATATCGGGACACCGATGAAATAAAGCTATTAAATGTTAACATACAGCCATGTTGTTGTTTTCTTTCTTCTTTTTTTCTTCATTTTAATCAGAGCCGTCCAGTGACTTTTGGGGTGACTTTTTTTCTCTCTTTTAAATCACAACTTTTTGCCCGCTTATATATCCGAGGCACTCTGCAGCAGCAGGGGTTTCAGAACCCATGTGACAGGTCTGATTTTAATCATTTGAATTATCAAAAGATATCAGTAGTTGTAAGTCTTTCAATACAATTATTTTAATGATTAAATTTTACAAACTACCATATATACTCTAGTATAGGTCTAACTTTTGTTACCAACTATTTTTGATAAATTTCAGGTGTGCAACCTATCCAATCGACATCAATTTTTCTTACTGTTATTCAGCATGGAATAGACATTTATACGAAAAGGCAAAAAATCATTTTCTCCCTTGCTTACAAATCGAGCAGAGGGCAATGAGTTTTTAAAAAATTAAAGACTGGGTAGTTTATGATGACTGCTTTTCAGTTTCAAGTTGAAAAAATTTGTTCAATGTCCATTTATTATTAAATATTAGCTATATTTATGTTAATAAAAAAGGGCCATGACACACACCTGATACAAAGGGTCAAGGCTATCTGCTGGCCAACCGATAATACCCACTTTTGAAAACCCCAAACTAAGAGTACAACCATTCCACTACCGCAACATATACAAAGAGTATATACAGTAGTTATTTATTACTGGTATATACAAGATGTTTTCCCAAAGATTCCTAAAATAAATTGATTTAACGGCTTTAAGCTTTGCAGTTTATTCTACAGTTATAACAAAAAAGCTGTTTTCTTTTTTTTTAATGGGCATGATGAAAAATATTAATGTTCCCAGACCTTTTTAACTGACCAACCATTGATACTCGTGCTGACTCCAAGTTCATGATTTGACCACTCCTTACCCTTGATGGAAAAATGTAATTATAATATAAAGCGAGTGCAACAAATTAAGTAAAAGAATATAAGGAATACTAAATAATTAAATCAGTAATTATCCAGACAATTATGCTAGCTGTAGCAGTGTTGTTTTTTTAGTAACAGATAAAAATTTCTAAACTTTGAGATAAACATAAACATGCTTTGCTAATAATATGGATCTTGATATATATAAATTTTTAGTTTTTTTGCTTTTGATGTAAAATATATCACCCAGCTCAAGGCAATATGAAGATAAGTTGGCGTGATTTTCTGAAGGTTAACATCTACAGAACAGACTTGTCTGTTTTCACAGCTTGGGTTAACTCCCCAAGTCTTTAAACTTCACTGAATGTTGAAAGCAATTATTTGTAATGGGTCATAATTCTGATATTATTTACTTACGCCCATTCTATTGCTTTTTCCATTGACTCAAATGTTTTAGGTCTTCCTCTGAGAAATGACTGCATGCTGGCCAGAGCTTCTAAGGCTGTACCTTAAATACAAAAGACTACGTGTAACTCAAAAATACAGATAACGTTCCCAAATAAAAACAATACTCATTTTCCCTTTAAAGTACCAGGTGAAAACTAGAAATTGGTATTTTGAGTTACTTTCATAATCAACTTTAATTTTAAATTATTCCCTAAGAAGTATTAAAAAGAAAACCATTTAAAACAAAACCCCTGACAATAAAAAAAAAAAGGTAGAAAAATGTTTAATATACAAGTTGTTAAAGTATGTTATATCAAAGTGATCTCTGAGCTCATGAGTCGCAAAGTTTGATGTTAATTGAGCATAAAACGTCTTCTAATTCAATATTTCTCTTTTGTTTCTTGGAATGTCTGCTACATGCTTTAAAGGAAAAATAAGGTTATTACCTTCTACAACATCAATAACAGCTATCCCAATAAGATTTGAGATGAGATTTCTCACGGCAGTATGCACAGCAATGGCACCACCCATACTGAAACAGAATTTAAAAAACTGAGTGCAACTACAAAAAATGTTTAAAAACTCAAGGATAAAAAAAAAGAAATAAGCTGGCTTAATAATCAGGCCTGACACTGACATTTGACTCAATATGTTTGGTTTCTTTTGGTTCGGATTTTACTTTTATTGCAAAATTAGGCAAGCTTAATTAAGTTGCGTCTCTTTAAATATGGTTATTTTTAATCACAGTTGAGCATGTACTCAAGTATATGTTTTAAAACTGTTTTTGCTGCATGAGGAGTATATTATTCCCTAGCCCCAGACCAGGAATTGCACCAATGGTAATCTACTTCTGGGATATGTGATATCAATATGGGTAAGTAGCATGCAGCATGAATATATTTCTTAATTGCAAATTTGAAATTACCTGTGTCCAACAAGTATAATTGGTGGGGGATCATCTTTATATAGACTCAGCACAATGTTTCCAACATCACTGAAAAGCAGTTGATAAACTGATTCAGCAAAGTAAAAATGTGAATTAATTAATAATGCAAAAATGACGCTCTTTGATTTCTATTTCTATGTAGGTGCAACTTTGACAAATTAATTATCCACAAATCACAACATTTTGATACTTGGTAATGCTTCTAAAAATGATAATGATTCTTTATTTGCTGGATTTGTAATTATTAAGAGTGTTACTTTTTTCTATATTTATTGATAATTGTTAAAACGAATGAGCAATGAAATAATGTTGAGGGTGAAAGAAAGAATAACAGCAGGAAACCTATCTTATTTCAGCCTACAAAAGCTACTAGGAAGCAAAAACTTCTCAAGGAGACCTAAGAAGGCAATAAACACCCCTATTATTAGACAAGTTGTAATTTACGCAAGTGAGACTTTGTCCCTTACCAGAAACTGCAGAGAACCTGCTCTACACATGGGAGAGGAAAATATATGGTCTGGTGATAGACAATGATGGATGTAGAATCCATAAACACAAAGAGATATATCAGTTGTTTGAAGACCCACCCATAATCACAACAATTAAAAAAAGACAGACTGGACTAGAAAGGATATTTTGAGAGGCTGCCGGATTGTAGCCCATCAAAAGTGATATACAGGCAGAAACCTAGGGGCAGACGGCTCACCAGTCAACCAAGACTGAAATGAAGATTGATAATGTAGAGAAGGATTTACACAAGCAGAGGTTGTGCATGGTGGCAGAAAGCCATTGATTGATACAAAGGGAAGGATATGGTGGAGCAGACCAGGACCCTACATGGGCTGTAGAGCCACTGATGATGATATAATGAATGGATGATATTATGTTTGAAGAAGGACTGATTTTTTAGTAGACATTGATAACAACCAACCTTGACATTTGTTCAGCACTTAAATTTTTATTATCTGATGTTGAACTATCTCCTGAAAAAATATTAAAAATTGAAGATTGTATATCATAGTATAGAAATTGTAAAAGAAATGTTTATAGATAAAGTCCTACATCTATTTAAAAAAAAAAAAAAAGCAAAAGAAACTCTGTTTTTTTGGGCAAACTTTTTAAAGTGGTTTATCAATTGAAGATTACAAAATACACATACATTAAAACTTATAATAGATAAATAAAACTCTGTACCGTGTCCTCTGAGATCTACAGCAACACACCTGCATTTTACCATCGTTGTGATATGGGCCTGCAGCAAGAAAGAAAGAATATCCCTGTAAGTTAGGAATTATATTTTACTCGTATTTTGAATATCAGAATCATAAAAACAAATTAATACATTTGATCAGTTGAAAGTTAATTTAAGAACATCACGTTCAGTTTAACACTTAAAATAATTCATAAAATCAAACGCAATTACAGCTGGTAAACCAAATATTATTTCTAAAAGTAAGTTTTAAACTGAATATACACACAGTATAAGAAATTTTTAAGATATATTTAGTTAGGTAAAATTTCTTACTGACAAGAGAGCCCAAGACAGTGCTGAAAAGCCGCCTCCATGTAAAAACAGTAAAACTGGCCCTTCACTGCCCCGTTCATACACTCTAAAAGTCTTTAGAAATTTATAAAGAAATTAACAAAAGAACAATAATTTAACCAATCTAATAATTTTTTTACATTTTAACTCTATTCATTATATACTATTTTATTTGTATATTACAGCATATGAATCAATACAAAGAGGATTTCAGATTTTGGCAATGCTATGAATGATTAAAAGAATGTATGCTTTAGATTAAAAGGGATGGTTACAATTGTATAAATATAGCAAATATTATTTAAATAATGAAGTTTAATTATTACATCTCCAGCAGCTGTTGTTACATCTAGTTTTTTTTCAAAGTACTTGTCCCAGTAAATTGGGCTGTAGTCCTTTTTGCGTATCATATTTCGCTTTGCTGGTCCCCTAAAAATAAATGATTGCTGATGAATAAATGTTATTGTTAAACGATGCATAGTTGTATTATAATTATACATTTTCCATTTTATTGATGTAACCAAGATGTTTATATCAATATATATAATGTTTCCTTGTAATTTTGTGTACTTATCAATGTTATACATTAAGAACTTTCATTGATTTTTTTATCAAATTGTTTAAGAAATAGGGTAAGCACTCAAACAATATATTTTAATGTTTGAAGCCTAAAATTAATTTTTTAAATAGTAAAATTATAGTTATTAGGCCTCACATGCCAATAGATGAGGCATTTAAATCTATAATATATATATAATATATATAGGTTAGTAAAGTAAAAATAAGTCTACAAATTAATTAGCATAACACTAACCAACCTACTATTATCAAAATACTTATTTACTTAAAAACCCGAGAAATGGCACGGGAAAGGGCACTTGTTGCATTCTTTAAAAAGTCCATGTTATTATGATAAGGTCAAAACTTAAATATTAAATAAAAAATTTCAAAAATGGTTATTTTTGCCTGATAAAAATCTTCAGGTTAAGGGCCTTATGCATAGCCTTAAGCCAAGGAAGACTACAACCACAAAAGTGGGCTATCCCTATACTATAGTTATAGGCTACTATTTGTTGGAGTAGGAGCTATTTATTGATGTAGTATATAATTTGGACCTAGAGATCTAAGATAATAATATGTTAATAGGATTGTACCTTAGACCTTATTAATCTATTCTGTACTTAAATTAAATACTGAAGAATAGTCCAAGTATTATATAATAGGATAGTATAGAATTTAGGCCTAATTTTTAATTTATTTAGCAGGGACAATGATGAGTAATAATTAAGAATAATCTCTTACTGTTACTGCTTACTAATCTTCTTACTCTTTAATCTTTGTCTTTATTCTTTACTAAATTTGTATTCATTAGTTTAGTGCTAGTTTAGTCAGACTCATTTACTCTTTAAATATTAAATTATTTTTAGTCTTTACTTTAAATTAACTTTTAAACTGAACTTCTCTTAAGTCTTAGTTTAGTCTCATTTCTAAACTCTTGCTAAAATATGAACAAAGAAGCTGTTCATTTTTTTTTTTAAACATAAATAATTTAAATTAGATTAAAGCCTCAGCGTCCTAGACCTCTAAATTTTAATAAGATTTTTTAAGACAATTTTATTTTTTTAAAGTGGCCGTAGTCATAGCGATATAACTAAAAGTCACTTTAAAAACAAAGAATTAAAAGTAAATGTAAAATTTAATTGCTAAATTAATGAAGAGTTTACCCAGATATGATGGGAGGCATTGGTGGTAAGCCAAATTTCTTCTTTAAAATGTCTTTCCCCAACTCAGACATTGCTAGGATTTTTGTAGAAGACGTCGGTGAACTGGTTGTTTAGCTTTTGTTTCTTTTCTTTTTTCTAGGCTTTTACAAATTCTTAGGAGATCGTTTTTATCGGAGTTAATTTTGCTTGCCACAGCCCATTTCAGTGTAAATACCCCAAGTTATGCACTATACCTATGGTTCCCAAACTCATCGATTCTCACATTTTTATCGCTTATTTTAATGGGGCACAATTTAACAGTTCTAAATGTTCACAAGGCAGTTTTCACATTTTATTGAATGAAGAACTACTTTATTTCTCAAAAAATAATTGATAAAATAAAGCCCAGTCAATAATTTATTAAAGAAAAGTGTGATGCTTTTCTTCCTAACTTAATTTCAAATTTGAATAAAGAATACATTTTAATTATCAGATCTGGTTTTACTTCCAAACCAATCGGTTCTGTAGGACTGTTACTTTTTAGGATAGTCAGTGTTGAAAAGCCCACAACACAAATAATCTATGACAAATATTATCCCTTTTTAGATTTTTTTTACAAAAACTGGGTAGGCCTATTCCTTCCGAACTAGAAGTAACCACGCCTAAAAAAAAAAAAAAAGTGAGTATTCTGTAGAAGATTATATTGTTTTACCTATTACAGAACAGTAATCACTTTTTAAATTGAGTTCTATATATTTTGTAAAGCAGGCCTTTATAAATTATGCGAATCCTTGGATATTTGTGGTGAAAAGGAAGGGGCTATTTTTGTCAGCCAATGCTTCACTGTGAATTCTATTATGTTATCTTACACAGTCTGATGCTATGTCACTTATCTTCACCAGATCATCTGCCTCTGCGCAATCTCCATCACCACTGAGTCACATACACCACAAAACGATGTAGGCCTAATTCTTTATCAAAGTAAAGATAGGCAAAGATAGGCCTAATTCTTTATCAAAGTAAAGATAGGCCTAATTCTTTATCAAAGTAAAGATAAATGTCTTCAATAAAAAAATGTTTTTTGATTTCAGAAGACCCACTTAAAGAAGAAAAAAATTACTCGCGAATCGTCTTGTCAAAATCGTTTCCCACAAAACACATTACATTTGTATTTGGGCTTACCAGACTTTTAAGGGTTAATACTGGGGCCCATGCGACCGACTGGGGGGCGACTGCCACGGATATTTTATTAAAATTTTTACTGTGTTTCGGACGTCTTATTCACTAGTAATGCGTAGCAGTGTTCAGTAAATATTTTCTTTCGACCTGGAGCTTTACTTTCATGCCGTGGTTCAGGATCACGACCCTACGTGTCAATGATAATTATAGCTAAACCTTAAGCTGCTTTGGTGGCGGGGGGGGGGGTCCTAGATCCCACCCCTTGCCCACTTACGAAAACAAAAACAAATACGCATCAAACCTATTCCGACAACTGGTGTTTATAAAAAAAAAGGCGGTGGGAGAGTGTGATTGCACTCCAGAATGTTAAATGAAAAAAAAAAAGGATTAATTTTTATACCCAAAACCCGTTTTTCAACAAACCGAGAGCCATGCCATATCCTAGATTAAGACCAGAGTAGAAAACTACCGAAGGGTCTACAATGATAACATAGAGGGAATACTTGAAGTGTGCATCGAGGCGCAGAAGTCCCGACCACTAGACGCTGTTCAAAATTGTAACTCACACTCAGGAACGCAACAGTTATTCATACCACACAACTATTCGACAAAAGTCTTGATACAGAATAATTTAAGGAACAGCGAAAAACTCAAACAAGGATTTTCAAGACTCAATAAACAATATGTAGGATGAATAAAAACAACAACAACCGAATTTCCATTTATTTCGATCAATAAAAATATCACAGCTGATCTTATCGAACATTTTTTTATATCATGATCGCAGCGGATCAGCGATGAATGACAAAGGGCATTGCTATTGTGAAAATAATGATACTAATACAATTTTATGATTATTATGTTAACCCTCAATAGGCAACTTCGTCATTAGAACTCAGGTGGTCATCTGGGCTGGGGTCAAATATGACACCGTCATCGTGAAAATGGCAATAATTGATTCTGATTTTAAAATATATAATAATAATAATAATAAAGTTTATGCGAACAACACGCTTCATCCCCAAAAGCTCGAAGCGCGGTACAAAGTCAACTATATAAATAAAATTAAAATCATAATAATGCCTTCTTGTAAAATTACAAAGACAAAGTACTTTGCAATGGTAAAAATGACAATCACATGCAATAATGAAATTTAATAATGACTTGACAGGAATCTGTGGTATAAGTTCTACAAATTCCGGTTTTATTCCATATTCTCTTCTATATTTAAATATACAATTGTGAAAAAGTAAATTTTAAATTGCAACATAACAAATCAGGCTGAACTTAGTGCATTGTGTGTGCATTTATGACCAATGCATTCATCACTGCGGCGCATTGTGTGTGCATTTATGACCAATGCATTTACTGCAGCGAAATTTACTATTCTATAAAACATCGTCACTAGTAGATGATACATCCTAGATGGAGTGGATGCCATCATCATGATCTTTCTCCATGGAATCTTCTAAATCATCCCCTGAGCCACTCAGACCAACTTTATCACCAGCTCTGTGCCTATCGTCATGATGTGCACGGGGGGGGGGGGGCTTTTTTAGTATTTCGACCTGTACAAGACACCATTTAAGCTTTAAATTTAAATAAAAACAATCCAAATAAAAAAGTTCCATGGAATCTTCTAAATCATCCCCTGAGCCACTCAGACCAACTTTATCACCAGCTCTGTGCCTATCGTCATGATGTGCACGGGGGGGGGGGGCATTTTTAGTATTTCGACCTGTACAAGACACCATTTAAGCTTTAAATTTAAATAACAACAATCCATATAAAAAAGGAACTGCAGATTGAGTGAACACTCAGGTCACCTTAGGGTCAAATCTGACCTCACGTAGAAAAATTTTCAAAATTAGAGGGGAAAAAAAATCCCTAACAAAAAGCTCAAAAGACTGTCTAACTACAAAGTTACTAAGCCACGAGGGTTGGTGGGAAAAAAAATATATATTAGCAAAGTATCCAAGACAAAGGCAGTGAACATAATGTGACCTCAGGTGGCCTTTTGAGGGTTAATCAGTTCTAATATAGGGTCTATAGTGAATGATTTGGACATTGAAGGTCAAGGGCTAAGTGAAGTCACCTTTTATTATTGAAAAAAATTTTTTCAATTAATTATGAATTATATGCGATTAACAGAATTTAGCAACGTTTTCCAAATCAATAAATCATCAACATCATCATCAGTTCTGTTGAGGCACCAAGTCTCACCTGCGTAAATTAGAGGGATAAATGATTATGGTGTGCATGGCGTTCTGTTGACTTGTCCCCAAGCATTCTATTGTCACTGCAGTAATATAAATCAGACATTTTATCTTATCCATGGTTTGTGTCTCAGAACAGGGGGCAAAACTTTGTATTTCAAAGTTTCACAACACACATGCCTACACAGGTGCAATGCGAATTCGGCTCATTAATCTGCTCACAGCTACAGCAAAACATTTAAACTGGTACCAAACAGAAAGATGAGCAAACAAGAATATTAGTTTAAAATATTTTTATACCGTTTTTTTGCTAGCACAGTTTTTGTATTCACAGCCGAAGTAACAAAACAATAACAATAGGTGAATAAAATATTATATGGTTAACAACTGCAGTTCAATGAATAAAAATTCATTATTAATATGCAAACACAAAATTATGCGCAGTCTGCTAAGTTATAAGACAACAATTTTATAATTTATTAAATACGGCAGAATTCATAATGTACTTGGAAAATTAGTGCAATACAATAACCTTATAAAATGTAAGTTGAATGAGAACAAAGTCTAACAAACAACAGGCAGCTAAGAAAAAAGAAGAGTTTATCCCCATGGTTTGATTTGAAAGTGCAAAATTTGAAAATATTTTTGAATTCTGTAATTTGTATCATTTCCGTTCAACCAGTGCTTTATTATTGCATAAATTTCCTGTTTTATTTCCATCAATTAGCTCTTCAAATTCAAATGTCCCCACTCAACATGTAACAATGCTTTAGCTGGACCAGGTGCAATACAATGTTGGTCCTATATTAATTACCACTTCATCCACAATGCAACCTTATGTACACCTGGAGAACATTTGATGACCAGCATTTGAATATCAGCAAAATTAATTTTTTCCACAGATTCATTGCAACATCCAAATTTTCATGTGACTTCTACTTCTACAGTCATTGGCTTGATCTGGTTATTTGCCTGTTTGCCTTTAGTGAAATGCTCAAGCAAGTTCAATGGTTTTGCCTATGGCATAATAAACTAGTCATAAATCTAGTCCATTGGTGTGAGACACACTGCACCTCAAGTGCTCAACATAAGTTTTGCTACGGCAAGTGGTGCTAATTCCTTCTTCAATTAACCAGTTTTGTCATTAATGTTATATGGAGTAATCATTGTCAAAGTTGAGCTGTCTACCATATTTCAGTGCATAAAAATTCAGCCAAGCAGTCACTAATTGCAAAAAAAATTAATCAAATAAAAAAAAATTGATCACTTAAAACATAAAATGTGGGAAAATGAAGCTTTAAAAATAATGGAATGTTAAAATTTCTGAAGCTGGCACATATTTGTACAAAAAAGTTCAAAGTCAAACTGTTTTATAAATGCGATCACCTGAAACAGAGGTTTTCAATCTTTTGCATCATGTGACACATTACAATCAATGCTGACATTCTTTGAAACACCATACAAGATTTTAAAACAAATTGGCCAAGGAGCAGGCACAGTGACTTTTCCATGGATATTGTCATTAGAAGATTAGATCAGATCTATTATTTTTTAATGTTGATGACCATTTATCTCAAATGGCTCTATACAAAATTAAAAAGGTAAAAAATAAAAACTATCATTACATCAAAAATAATCCCTGAGATTCAAAATATTGCAACACCCCTAAGAAATTTTTGCCACACATACCGCCTTCATATAAAAACTGTTAACACTTCAGTGGCTTTGTAAGAGAAATGTAGTGTAGCAATTGACATTAAAAAATATCTACATTTGCAATTATTACTATTATACCATATACACTCACCGGACATAATGATGGATTTTACACAGGCTTGGGTAAATACACACATAAAATGATAAATAGGTCTAAAGTAGTGCTAATTATTTATATTATGTCCAAAACTTTTGTTAAATTGATATTTTTTGTCAGTGTTAAATGACAATACCATAATCTTGTAAAAAATGCAAGCAATACTATCAAGAATACATATAGATAGAATGGTAAGGTTGATGTGTGGCCGAACGGTGCTAACCAAAGACCCCGATGGTTAGCATCCCTCAGGTGATGAGACAACCATGATGTTAGAAACATTAAAGGGAAATAGTTCAAGTAAGGTTTGTAATGTCGAAATATCCAACAAAGCAGAACTATCACAGGGATGATGCTCGTATTGTGAAAAGGAGGTCTCCTTTCCAAATGTAATGCATTCTGAAAATCAAACACACAATACAATATAAAATTTTGTTTAGGGATAACAAAAATTCTCTCAGTTTTTTCATACGAGTTAATTTCTCTGGTAAAAAAAGTTGTATTTGTAATTGTAATATTATATGTATAAAAATACTTATAAAACACAAAAGCAGTACCAAGTTGTTAATATTCAATGCTAATTTCATGGGGTACCTCTAAGTTTAAAGACCCAGCAGCAAGAAAGTGATCCGAATCCACAGATGCTGCCAGGACGGCACAAAAGAAGCAATTCAACCATTTCTTCCAGTCATTTAGCAAAGCTGAGTTTTCCACAAATGCCCACACAAGAGCACCAACCAATGCATGCGTTAGGCTGTCAACCAGTGCGCGGACGAGATGAGAATATCCTCCAATATCAGATGTAAGGAGCATCTGGTCCCCAGTCAAGCATACTGTAACAATCAGTATGCAAATAAAACAGGCCAGCAAAGGGGATGGCAGCAAATTATAAAAAAAAGATGGTTCCATGGTCACACAAAGTGGAGACACATTTGGTGTTCTAAATGTTATTGACTAATATGGTCTTTCGATCAAGAACTTAAAGGACAATTCCTGCAATAGAATTTTAAATAATAATGAATTGACTATCATTGATTGAAATGTGTTACAATTTTTCAGTACACATAATACCAATACAAATCATTCAAAACACCAAGTAAATATGTTTATCTTCTTGTACAGAAGCCTTATTGGGGTTTTCTAGGATGTTTTTTTTTTTTTTTACATATTATGCTTCTCAAAGCATCCTGGTGTTATTTAGTCATAAATGATTAAAGAAATGGAGACTAAGTTGTATTTTACATAGATTTAGCTATATTGAGCACTGAAGCTTAATACCAATCAAAGTTAAACTTAATACAAAACAACATGTTTTTAAAAAAAGTGAAGAAGAGATAAATAATAGATGTGTTAGCAGTGTTGTTAATATTTTTGAAGCAAATAGAATAGCAAGGTATGTGGAAGCTTGAAATAAAAAGACAGGACAATAAAAGAAGAACGTTTTGGCTAAGAGCCTTCCTCAGCAGACAGGACAAATGAAGAAATAAAAAGAAATGGAAAGTATTTTAAAAAACTTAAGTGTGCGCCATATTCCTGTATTGCAGAAGTTGGATTTTTCAAAACCAAGATTAAAGGAAGTAAAATAATTTTTGTATTAGTACTTGAATAAAACAACATACTTTGCAAATGATGTGAATCATGATATGTGCAAGTGCAATTTTATTTTTCAAAGTCAATACAGATGCAACTTATCTTGCTTGGGGCAGTTGTGAAAGGCATTAGTCCTATTTGTGGCCACATCAACAATACTCAAAGTGGATGGTACTCACTAGGGGGTGGTGAGACAGCGCAGAGGAGTGGTACATTTTTAAAGCTGTAGAACTATAGTAAGTGCAGTGACGAAGGCAGGTGCAGACCTGTTTACTCTTACGATTTTGGCGTACAATGTACGGATATATTGTATGTTTATTTTTTTACTATCGGTATGAAGATAATGTATTTAAAACTATTTATTGAACGATTTTGTGATACTGTAAGATTTTAAGAGTTTGCGGGTAAAAAAGTCTGCGGGTGTGCAGTCCACCAGGTGAACAGGGTGTCATTTTTTTCTTTATGTTATTATTGAAATAATGAATTGACAACTCAGTTTTGAAGGGGACATTTTTGGCCAACTGCAGAGTTTTTTTAGTGGAAGTGGAAGGTGAGGGAAATCTTGGCCCACTCAGGTTGGAACTTACCCTGGACCCTAGCTACCCCACTGCAATTGCGATTACAATGTAATTAAATGAGTAAGTGACTAATACTATAAAATTATTATAATTATAATAAATTAGTAAAAAAAAAAATAAGTGACAGTTACTGAGTCAGTGTCACTTATTTTTTTTTTTAACTAAGAGACAGAACAGAACTGAGACTCGACAACGTTCGGCTACAAAATATAATTGAAATGAATTGTCTCGTTCAGGTTAAACAACTGAGACATCGTTAACATAACAATAACTGTAAAAAAAAAAAAGACTAAGGAAAACGTTTTTTAATATTTTAATTAGTAAAAAAAAAAATAAGTGACAGTTACTGAGTCAGTGTCAATTATTTTTTTTTTTAACTAAGAGACAGAACAGAACTGAGACTCGACAACGTTCGGCTACAAAATATAATTGAAATGAATTGTCTCGTTCAGGTTAAAAAACTGAGACATCGTTAACATAACAATAACTGTAAAAAAAAAAAAGACTAAGGTAAACGTTTTTTAATATTGCAGCTGTAAATCCATACAAATTAAAAAGTGGCTTTCAAAGATGTTAACACAAACTATATTAACATGTTTGTGTACATTGAACTAAAGTACGAACTCTACGTGTTATCAACTTTACCGAGATGACTTAGATAGAAACACATTTCTCGTTATTTTTTCATTTTTTCCCTAAGCCTAAATAGTTTTATTTTAGTTTAAAGTTCTCAGATATAGATCTTATAATTAAGTAGGCCTAATCAGTTTAAAAAGAAATTATTAATGTATTAAAATTATAGAAAAATACGGAAAATAAAATTAATAAATTGGGGTCGTCCATTAAATACGTCAACAGTTTTTATGCAATATTTGACCCCCCCCCACCCCCACCCCCCTTGTCAACAACTCTCAAACTTTCGATGAACCCCCCACACCCCAATTTTTATTAATGATTTATCATTTTTATCTCGCGGAACGGATATACCAGACAAGTCACCATCATCCTTATCTAACCATTCAGCACTTAAAATAGAAGTATTGTCGGTGTGAGCAATAATTATAACCCTCTATTACGCAATGTTGCCATTTGGCAACAAAGCGAAATTACACTACTGCTAGTACTGCAAGCCCAATTTTTAATTTGTTGGAGTGGTTCCCCTTTTCAATTATGAGGTTTCAAACTTTTATCCTGAAGAACTCTTCACTTTCGCTTTGCAGTTTTTATGTAAGAACACATTTTAGACGGTCACAGTTGACTACAATTTTTTCCGCCGAATCCAGTAAGTACAAGCTGTTTTTTTATATCACATAATGATAATTCCTGTTATAAAAAATAAAGAATGTTAAATTTAATGTTTGAACTGATATTAAATGAGCTTATGTTTGATATTTGTCATCATAGGTGGATGACATACGAAAAAAATGGTATGTTGCCAATTGGCAACAGTGCGTCGATGTGGTTAATTTTTTGTGTTTATTTTTTTGTTGCCAAATGGCAACATACAATATATAATCAGTTTATTTATTATAAGCTATCTGAATAATATTTTTTTTTATGAAATATCTATACATATCTAATATTAATGTTATCCTTTTATATTTTGATCAAATTAACAGGTTTTAAATTAATGTTACAATTCTTTTTATAAAAAAAAAATGAATAGATACTATACAAGATATAAGTCTATATTGTAAGTTATTTTTTGTGTGGAATTATTAGTTTCCTATAATGTTTTTTTCTTCTAGAATTCAAATATCCAAACATCAAAGCAGTCATGGAACCATCATGCTTTTATGGAAAAAATAAAAATGTGGATATTCCTTCTATTCCTGAGGACTCCGAGCTATCTTCACGCGATGATGACATAGATGAAACTTTGACTCAAGAACACAACAAGTATGTTTTCATATACTTTTTTAAATTGCATTTAATCTCTAATATTTAAAAAAAAAACAATTATATAACATTCAAGCCAAAAGTTAAAGTAAACACTGAAAAATAATATTTAAAATTTCCCTTTTCAGCTTCAACCATATCAGACTCAGACTGTGAAACTAACGACACACCTGGTAATTCTTTAGACACTGCAATCCAACCACGGGCAAAACTATTTGCAAGAAATTTGCTTTGACACCACAGAGATGAAGCTGACATGCAGCTATTGGCACTGTAAGGTCTAATAGGCTTAAAAATTGCATAATGCCTTCAGATAAGGACTTGGCAAGAAATGGAAGGGGCTCCGCAATTCTGAAAACCTGCCACCATGACGGTGTTGATCTGTTTCCAGTCAAATGGGTTGACAATAGAGCGGTAACCACACTCAGTACATTTGCTGCTATTGAGCCCATGAAACGGGTCAAAAGATGGGACAAAAGGCTAAAAGGGAAATCTAGGTAACTTGTCCATCGGTAATCATGGTTTACAATAAATTCATGGGTGGTGTGGATCTTCTCGCTTCACTGTTGGCCGTATACAGGATACCAGTAAGGTCCAAAAAATAGTATCACTGTATAATATTCCACTTTCTGGATACCAGTATGGCAGTTGTGCTGGCATGGCTGATCTATAGGCTGATTGTACTAATGCGAATCGCGACAAAAAATATCCTCGGTGTACTTGATTTCAACACCAAGATGGCCATATGCCTAATGAAAGAAGGTAAAGCAGGGTTTAGGAAACTTGGCAGTCCTTTATTGGATATAGAGCCTCAACTTACAGCTAAAAATTTGAGTGGTCCTATTGCAGCTTTTCCACCCTTACCAGTAAGAGCTGATTATATTTGGCACTTTCCTGAGCCACTTGAAAACAAAGGAAGATGCAAGAGACCAGGTTGAAAAGAATTTTCAAGAATAAAATGTGCATAATGTAAAGTTGACATTGCTTCAAACAGTTCCACCAGCATTAAACCTGCATTTCACATATGTATATAAATATTTACTGTCCCTCTATATGCTCTATATATTGATTACATGATTTTCTATATTTTTGTGTAAAAAATGCTTATAAAATATGATTTTTATAATGATCTTTTTCATGATATAAAAGCATAATATGAAGATATGCTTGTAAACTAAGTACTGAGAACCATTGTTTGTGTAAACGATTAAATATTCACCTTTTACAAATATTATTGTTATCGTTTCCTTTTCTTGTTCAGTTTTACTTTTCTGACCTTTAAGACGCACTGTTGCCATATGGCAACATACCAATAAAATCATTATTTCATTTTAAAAAATTATTTTTCTTGCATATTATGTTTATTTAAGTCCAATAACTATGAAGTATGCCATCAAAAAATTTTTTTCCATAAAAAACTAAAATTGCGTAATAGAGGGTTAATTGCCATAAGCTCTCTCTGTCTTTGAGATGGTATAGTTGTTATTGAGCACCGATGAGTTGGTGTTTTTGGTTGTTTTTTTTAAATTAGAACACCGTGTAAAATGATGTATTAAGCATTCTAGTTAGCGGATTAAGAGAAACATGACCGGCGAAGAGATGCCAACTTTTGACGTCCCTTGCACTAACAAAGTGTGCTAACATTCTGTCCAGCCATCTGCAGTGCACAGACAGACACACATTTAATAACTCTTATATTGTTAAAAGTCTAAAAATATATGACTATTTACACTCATTGAATTGTTTAAAATAATGTAGGAACCAGTCAATTTTTATGATTAAAATTTTAATTTAAAAAAAACATGATTGTTGACATCAACTAATCTAAACCACCCCCTCCCCCTTGTCAACGACTGTCAAACATTTCCGACCACCACCCCCTATTTGTTGACGTAATTAATGGACGCCCCCATTACAGTTCTTTTAAAAAAATAATTTTAAAGTCAAAGTTGATACGAAAACGAAGAAAGCAATCCACCCTCTTCGTGTGCGAGTGGTATACATAATAATATAAGTGCTGTATCCGTTTAATTTTGCTATATTTCTTTTAATGAGTAATTATTTTAGTAAAGAAAGGCCAATTTAAAAAAAAAAATAACAACAAACCTGGTTGTATTGTTAGGGTAAGCCTTCCAAAAAGTGAATACAGCATTGGGTAAGTGATAGAGCTTTTTTTTTTTACAGACGCTCTCCAGGTCAGACACCGAGAATGCCTTAAATTTATAAGGGTTGAAGAGGATCTATCTATCAGCCATTTTTTGTTTCACCGTAAGTTCAAAATTTCGCTAAACACAAATTTAACAAATCACTTGTCTTAATTTGAGCAACAGTTCATGAAATTTTAAATTTTTAAATTTTAATTTTATGTTAGTCGGTTCACAACAGATTTTCGTCACTTTATTATTATTATTTTTTTTTTTTGTCTTGTCAGTAATTCTCTTATTTCATCAAGTGATGCTTCATTCAAGCATCGCGGCAATCACCGCTGTTAGAGATATGATTTCATCTAAGGTCATGACAATAAAATGTATTTAGTTTTAAAGTGCGACTTTTACGGTATTAGATACAAGGAAAAAAATGGGGAAAATCGTAAAGAATATACTTTTGATTTTGAATATGCATACTTTATTATAATGTACAATGAATGCATGCTTCCCATTCTTGTACAACTTTTTCCTTTACCAAAATAAAAAAAAACAAAAAAACCCCCCCAACAAAACAAGAAAAAAAAAGTATGTACGCTATTGACACGCTGAAAAGGTCACGTGGACAAGGTCATGTGGACAAGGTCACGTGGACAAGGTCATGTGGACAAGGTCATGTGCACAAGGTCATGTGGACAAGGTCATGTGCACAAGGTCATGTGGACAAGGTCATGTGGACAAAGTAATGTGGACAAGGTAATGTGGACAAAGTAATGTGGACAAGGTAATGTGGACAAGGTAATGCGTGAGAAGGAGCAAAATAACAGACACCTGGAGAATATAGTTGGAATATGAGAAGGGCTTTACAAAATAGAAGAATAAGCTTGAAATAAATAAGACATTTAACAATATCATTTTAAAATGAGTCTGACATTTTAACATATCATAAATGTAATAGCCTCACCACCAAAACATAATTTAAAATATACAAGTCATGTATTATGAGTCAGACATACTTCCAACATTTTACCGTGGCAGAGACACGGACCTATAGCAAAAGTGCGCACCAAAGGATGGAAATACCCCAAAACGCCTAAAGTTTTTCCAAGCACTGGTTTCAAAAAGGGGAATCAGAGATTGCATTTCATCCAACTGTCGTAGAACAAAATCATCATGTTTTCAAAACGTCTACTAAAGATAACTCGGGTCTACTTGTCGAGGATTCAACAAGGAAGTGAGTACAGTTTCATTTGAAATGTCATACAATATTTTTGTTCACTCTACAGAAACGATCACCGGTGCAATTACGTATGTGTGCACCTTCATACTTGGACTTGGGGACCTTACAGCTTGAGCACTTCTTAAAATAAAAATAAAAAACGCTTATATTTTCTCTAAAGTAAGGATTATAATGAAGAAGAATAATAATTACTACTTATTTTTTTATTTTTAAATTATAAAGCAGTGACAAAATGATTGATTCAAAATTAAATTATTTAGAGCTGTCGAAGTAACAAGATCTTAGACTTAGACCCTTGGCCTTGGGTAGATTTAGAAAAACCATCACTGATACGACTGTAAGACATTTTTGAAAAGATAGTTTGTAACAAGGCTAAACTCATTAATGTTTCCACTCTCTTTCCCCGAAGGTTTCCGTTTTCGATGCTATATGTTCATTCTTCTGACAGCATCAGCCTTGTTTTATTTCAAGTCTCATTATCCACAATCTACGGGCGCCAACGATAACATTCCTGCAAAATCAGCCGCGCGGAACAAATACCATCTTAATCCAAAACACCCTGACAGGGAATACCACCTGGACGCACTTGTGCGCAGAGAAGCTTCAAAACATGGGAACCACAAGCCCGGAGCAGCTTCGAGCATAATTCATCTGACAGAAATAATTCAGGAAGCAGTTAAGAACTACAACAATAACATACTTCGCTTAGATGAATCAACAGCGCAATTGTCAAACGCTGGGAGAGAGGAACATGAGTCGATTTCTACCGTACGGCGGGATGTAAAACGGCCGAATGTTGAGAGCAAATCTACGGGTAAATTGTTATCGTTAATTTAAAAAAAAAAGTTTAAAAATTAAAAAAAAAAATATATATTATTTCTGAAAGTTAAAATGTATCAACCTGTCACTAAATGTAGTCAGTTCACACCTCGGAGGAAATGTCTTAAAGCAGGATTCAAATGGCGTCACTGGGGTTGGTAAACATGTGGTGTTACCCCTCTAGACTTTCTCCACGGTCCCCCGTTCTTGTCTGTCTGCTCTGGTGATATCCTTTCTCTGGTGACAACCTTATCTCGGGGCAACCTCCTCTTCTGGCGCCCTCCTCTGGTTAACGCCACCCTCCTCTGGCTAATGCCACCCTCCTCTTGCTAATGACACCACCCTCTGGCTAATGACACCCTCCTCTGCTTAATAACACTCTTCTCTGGCGGTACATTAATTTTGGTAGCAGCCTGATTTTAGTATTTAAATAAGATCTATTCTGAAACCGATTCCAGATGAAATCGTCAAATTAGCAATTTTTAGTAAGGTGTGAACCCCCCCCCCACTACTCCGCCCGCCCCCCCCCCCCAAAAAAAAAGAAGCCTCTAAGGAGTCAGCCAGTGTGGTCTTTACATAGTATCCCCACTGACGTTACTGGCAGAGTTTTTTTTATTGACTATGATTTAACAATCTAACAAACTACGTGCGTGTTTATAAATGCACCTGAATTCCTCTTTAAAAGTGTTGCACATTATTTGGAGCAAGCGTGCTACACACACATTATTTGGAGCAAGCGTGCTACACACACATCATTTTTGAGCAAGCGTGGAACACACACATTATTTTGAGCGAGCGTGAAACACACACATTATTTGGAGCAAGCGTGCTACACACACATTATTTTGAGCAAGCGTGCTACACACACATCATAATTTTAAAAAGTTTCTCGAGCTAAATGTAAAGTCGGCTGTAAGAATTTAATTCCTCGCTATGTAACTTTTCGTATTACATTTATAGAAGTCCTTCATTGTACTACTAAGACGCATATTTAAAAACTAAAAAAAAATCACACAATGAAAATGTGTGTATTTCATAATCATGTCCCTTTTAATGCTTTCTTTAGTCTGTTTATGTAATTTTTCAGCTCTCCATTTCAGACCCTATCCTTATTTGAATATTTTTTTTAAAAATTGCATTTGCTTGTTTGTTTGTTGTTTTTTATTTTAATTTTGTTTTTTATTGATTATTATTATTTTTTATTGGAATAAAGGGATAGGTTCATGTCAGTTTTCCACAGGGATATGAAAAGACACGATGGCGTCTTTTTGTTTAAACATTTTGTATTGAATTTAAATGCCTCTCAATTTTATTCTCTTGAACAACATTTGTCCAAAGGGCATGTCTATGACGACAGATTCATTTGTTAAAATAACTTTAAACAACTTTATTTTTATGTTGAAGACAACAGCCATACAACGTTAAAAAAATTAAAAAATTACGCGTACAAAATTAACAACGAATGTGTCATTTTATAAAATCATGTTTAACTGTCACAGAACGGTTGTTACGGAGGAGGGCTCCGGTCCTGACTTATCACGAACTGTGTTGACTTAGTTGTGTTCAGTACAGGACCGCTCCTCTCTGTGATTTATATGGTACCCTCTAGGCGTTGAGACAGACATAAGCACAACGTAGACTTGGACGAAATGCAACAACTCAAACTCCAGGTGTCCAACGATAATGAAAGTGTGTTTATTTCTAAGATAGAAGTTCTTCTAGTCATCTGTCGTCTCCTGGTCTCTAGCAACTATTCCCTAACAACTGCTCAATTCTATCGTAGCTCTTTTCTCTCTCTTCCTCAACTACGTCGTAACTCTGTTCCCTCTTCCACTACTAATCCGTAGTTCTTCTCTATCTTCCTCAACTCTACTGTCGCTCCTTTCCCTCTTCCTCAACTAACCTAACTCAGTGAAAGCTCCCTCTTATATGTGATTCTCTACCCCCATAGGTGGTCCAGGAATGCTATCTATAAACACACCTCTGCCCCCTAATTTCCGGTCAATTAGAACTTCCATTGTCAACCCAAAAGTTATCATGCCAAGTCAGGAAGGCCCGAACATACTATTATCCAAAGAAACTATCCCCACTATATCAAGATGTGAGAGTCTATTAACCTTACCTTAACCCCATTAACAGCAGTTTCCTTCCATCCGATAAGTTACCTTAACAACAATGGAGCTCTGTCCTGTACACCCGCCCCCGTCATTTGTGACATAAACAACACCACCAACAGCAAATTTGAATGGGAAAAAAAAAATGATGGTTTTGGTTTGTAGTTGCAACTTCATCAAGTAATCTCTAAACCAGTCTTCATCATCTGATTGCAGAATCTCCAGTGGCTAATGTGAGGAGCTTGAAAGGCATTAACTTTGAGATATTGACAGACCGTGAGCTCGAGCACCTGCTCTTTGGTTTTCTGTTACACAATGAGGTAAGCCGACGACCTAACAATCGTTTATGGAAGTCCATCCACCATCGAATTTTTTTTTTTTAAAACACTAAAACTATATCATACTATGAAAAAAAAACGATCATTAAATAGTTATTCTTTTTTTTTTATCTAGTTTAATCTTGTAAGTTTGTAAAATAATGTTTGTTGATTTCATTTTTTTACTGACGAAATTCAAAACAATGTTTGTATTATTATAAATCTCAATTGCTGTTTAAGATCTTGAACTTTAGTACAATGTAACGTTAAATTGACAATTTTACATAGCTGCATTGTCTTTTTTCCCTTTTTGGGGTTTTTTTATATTGTACTTCCACCCACTTTCTTTCCGCTCCTCTGCACCTTCGTTTCCGATATTATGGACTTGTGCCCACTCTCATTCGTTTCTTTTATTTTTAGGTATAGGTAGGATGTCCATAAATGTGTACATTTGATTTTATAATTATATTAATGTCTCTCTTTGTACCGATGAAGGCATTTACCGGAAGCGTCTGAATATGCGTTTCGTCTTATCACGATTAAATCATAAAATAGTTGATTGCATGCACGCACAGTTTTGGGTCTTATCAATTATCAATAATCAATAATGGTATACTCATTTTTTTTTTAAAAAAAGAAGATTAATCAGCTCATGTTGTGTTAAAGCATTTTCAAACTCTATCATCGCAACTAAATATATATCTCCTCCGACCAACACCCCCCCTCCCCCCCACCCTCCCGAGATCAAATCTGCTTAAAGTGGTGCTGACACATTTTCTCAACGCTGATTGATCTCTTCAAACAGATCATGTGCTCCCGGACCAAACGTTTTGGCAGATTGGCAGATGGCGGACTAGACTTGTGCGATGACGTGGGTGTGAGGGTCAAGGACCCGTGCATCGTTTACTCCATCGAGACCAACCTGAACCTGACATTCGAGGAAGCCATCGCCGAAAAGCTCAAGTGCTCCGTGTCGCTGCTGACGCCCCGCGTACACAATGGGGCGGTACAGAAAAGGTAACACATGCCGTAGACAGACGATTCCTATTTTGCTGAACTGACCCTGATCAATTCTTCGAGCGGTGCTGTCCCACCTTTGTGCCCAAACTCAAGCTCTGCTCTACCACTCTTATTAAAACAAAAGGTTTTTAAAGAGACAAGGGGTGGTGTTTAGTAATATATGGATATCATCATCATCATTGACAAGTCATTTAGTCCTTGGACCGTGGGGGCGCCACAGATGACATGTGAACCATCCTCCTCCATTCCTCTCTGTCTTCGGCACTACGCAAAGCATCGCCCAGTGTTAGTCCTGTCCACTCTTTGATGTTATCCTCCCATCTTTTTCTTTGTCTTCCTCTTCTTCTCCCTCCTCCTGTGGTGCCCTGCAGTATTTCCTTGGCAAGCCCTTGTTTCCTTGTTACGTGGCCGTGCCATTGAAGTTTGCTTTTTTTCACAGTCACCAGTAGGTCATCGTACTCCCCAATTGCCTGACGAACCCTTTCTTTCACTGTATCATTGGAGATATGGTCCCTATAGCAGATGCCAAAAATGCTTCTGAAGCATCTCATCTCCATCGCTTTTATTTTCCTTTCAAGATCTGCTCTTAATGTCCAGGATTCGCAGGCATACAGGAAAATGGAGAGGACTAATGAGCGCATCAGCCTGATTTTGGTGCTGGGGGCTATATTTTTGGCATTCCATATTTTCTTGAGCCTCTTTAGTGCTGTTGTAGTCTGCGCAATCCTGGACATCAGTTCGGGCTTGGAGCCTTCTTCTGAGACTATAGGTCCTAGGTATTTGAAGCGGCCTACAGTCTCTAGTCTTTCCTCCCTGACCTTAATTTCAATGGTGATGCCTGTGGTGTTATTTGTCATCAGTTTTGTCTTTTCGGCACTGATTAGCATGCCGTAGGACTACGAGGTCTGTTCAGACGCTCTACCAGGTTGGCTAGCTCTTCTTCGTGCCCAGCAAGTCCGTCTATGTCGTCCGCAAAGCGTAGGTCGGTGATTGTTCTGCCACCAATGCTGAATTTCCCTTCATGTGCTTCCAGAGCATCTGCCATAATTCTCTCTAGGAAGATGTTGAACAGCGTGGGGGAGAGCAGGCAGCCTTGTCGTATTCCAACCTGTGGTGGTCTTCAACCATTCTCCGATTTGTTATAACCATAATTATCGTACACAAGCCATAGGGTGGTGCCTAGTTACAACCATAATGATTGTACACAAGCCATAGGGAGGTGCCTAGTTACAACCATAATGATTGAACATGTTCCCACCCAATCCAATAATTTTGCTCCCAGAATTAAAGTTATCTTAAGCTCCTTGTTAAGTTGCCATTTGGACCATATTTTTTTTAGAGAGAACTAAACAAGGCAATACGTTTACAGATCATATGGACCTTGGATCACAATGCGCAAAGGGAATCGTTGAGGTAACTATGAACGACCAATTATTCTCTACCTTTGACAGATCAGACAAAATCACCATCTACAATGGCAGACTTTCAACGAGAACGGAGAAAAACGGGACCGCCATGACCTTCTCGAGATTTCTGTCCTTGGTGAGACACCAGCGAACCCCCATTGATGTTCTCGCGCTGGACTTGAACGGAGCGGAATGGGACCTCTTGCCGCACATGTTAAACTCGAAAGATCTGTTCAGGGTCAGGCAGCTTCTGGTCGAGTTTCACCTTCTGGCCATCGACCGGAAGTACATCCTGCCAAAGCTGAAACTTCTCCAAGCGCTGGAGAAGGCGGGTTTCAAAAAGTTCTACACCAAACACAACAGGGTGTGCGAGCTCGTGGTAGGCAATCACAGACGCAAAGCGCTCTGTTACAAGGTGGGCTTTATTTTTACATTTTGAAAAGGGGAGGTGTCAGTCCAAACAGTCGCCTCGAGTGAGATGCGGGTGCATCGGTATCTGGGTTGATCTAGATCAGAAGTCTTCAAAGAGAGATGGGTCTACCGGGACTGGGGCTTTAAATTTTGAACTTATTGAAGGTCATGGTGTGTTGTGTTGTTATTGGGTGAAAAATCTGCACTACAGATTTCCAATGGCAGGCTTTAAAGTTTAATAAGGGAAGAGACTGCAATCTTTAAAATTGTAATAGAGCAGCAAACTATCATGTTCTAATAAAAAATATAGTCTATCCAAATCTTATTGTAGTGAATGATACAGCCTACCGAAATCAAGAATGGTCACTTCAGTCTGAAAAATTGATTCAACGCTCTTTATTAATTGTTGTTTTAACTGAACATGGCTTCTTTAAAAAAAAATAAAAAAATAAAAACATTCCTATCTGAGAATAACAAATAAATATTAGGTGTAAAAAAATAATTTACCATGAGGACTTATCTTGACATTGCTCATTACCACAAGATGCTATGTGCATGATGTCATGATGACATTTACTTGTTCAAAACTTTGAGAGTCTTTATTTAGATTGCTTACACACAAAAGAAAATCTTGGGCGCTGGACTAAAGTAACGCCTTGTGTAAAACTAAAAGAACTGTTCAACGTTTCTTTTCATATCGGAGCAGAAATGCAGCATATATTTGCTAACATTTTTAAATTTTGTGTGTGTGTCTGTGTGTGTGTATTGGATAAGGTAGCTTATTTCGGTTAAAAATGAAAGAGAAAAATATTGAAATAATAAATTAAAGCAAATGGTATCTTTATAATTGAAGCAAATAAATGTGTGATTGAAGAGAAAGGAAATTATGAACTTGATTTACAGTTTTGGAAAATAAAGGCTGTTTAAATTTAAAATGGTAGAATTATGTGTCTTGTCTTACAATCTCAGGTACGCCTGCAAATTGGATAATGATCACCAAAGTATTTAAAAGTGATGATGAGTGATGATGATTGATGATGAGTGATGATGATTGAGTTCTTGTATAGCGCTTGTGTCCATGCTATTTTAGCATGCTCACAGCACTCTGATGTCCTAAAATCAATTTAAAGAAAAAAGTCTTTGGATGGTTCTTAAATAAATCTTTATCATTTTCAAATTCACTCAAAGATTGAGGCAAACTGTTCCATAATTTAGGCGCAATTTTTTCAAACGAGCGCACTCCGTATGACTTCTTTCTGTCTCCATCCACACTGGGAACTCTCAGTAAGGACTGTGTTGAAGAGCGTACTCCGTATGACTTCTTTCTGTCTCCATCCACACTGGGAACTCTCAGTAAGGACTGTGTTGAAGAGCGTACTCCGAATGACTTCTTTCTGTCTCCATCCAGACTGGGAACTCTCAGCAAGGACTGTGTTGAAGAGCGCCAGGTTATGTTTAGACACCTGTTTATAAATCAGTTCCTGAAGATATACAGACGATGACTATTTATATGCATTTATATGATGTGACATCACTTGCCATGATTACACATATTATACATGCAGTATCTAAATTATTCTAAATGGGGATATGTACACATGTAACACAAACAGGACCGTTATGGAGTCCTGACGTGTAGATCGATCCTGTCTTCCGATTTAGACAATTAGGATGTCGCATTCAGCTAAGAAATCCAAAAGTTGAAATACTGACGAATGTTTGGCTTAATGGCAGGGACGTCATTGGGGTAGGGCAGGGTTTGGCCTTTACCCCATACCTTGAATTTGCAGGTTTTTATTTAAATTGCTATGCACTTTGCCCCCACCCCTCCCCCCCCCCCAAACGTTTCACGGAGAATATCTGCTGTTTTAAGGTTCATTCACAGTCATGTCATTTTAACTTCAACTTTTCTCTCAGTGTTTTTATTTAAATTGGTATGCACCTTGCCCCCACCCCTCCCCCCCCCCCAAACGTTTCACGGAGAATATCTGCTGTTTTAAGGTTCATTCACAGTCATGTCATTTTAACTTCAACTTTTCTCTCAGAAAAAAAAAATCAACATAGAAAATGGTAGTTTTGGGAATGGACACCATGAACTGTATTTCAGTCACCAAAAGTAGACTCTTAGCTTGAACAGCCTCATACGTATCTGTCTCTTCCTCGATGACATCACCCACTGGTTTTCTTCTGGCAAAGAGATATCCCCCACCTCCTTTTTTTCCCCCGAAAAACATATTCCTTAAACGATCATGTATTTCTATGAACATTTCTGTCTGGCCGTTAAATGACTTGTTCAACCTTAAACTATAACAACATGAGCCAAAGGCTTTTATTTTTATAGCTAATCATGTCATATTTCTGCTTCTGTCTTTTGTCAAGTCAAATCTTTGCACATAACCCCCCAAAAAAAAAAATAAAAAAATAGACTGTTGATGAAATAGCTCACGCAGCAGAATTTTATGGTGGCGTGTTATTGACTTCACTAGCCGTTAAAGCACTTTACCATCACCTGGCGTCCTGATCACCACGTGACAGATATCTCAACCGGACGTTAATGTTTTAACGCTGTATTAAGTTTCAAAGTAAAAGGCCTGTCGCCGAGGGGGGTGGGGTGAGGTGAAGGGGTGGATTATATTATCGGAAATGGGGGTAAGTCCTTGTGGTCTAGTCATTTCTAGTGGAACAATACTAATGCAAAACTAACTTTTTAAGAGTTAAGTCATGGAGCCTCCCGGATATCTATATTTGTATTTTGGATCCGACACTGTCTTGGAAAAAGGAAATATAAATCACAGGGAATGGGAAAACCCGGAGCAAGACGAAAATAAAGAACCAATGACAATGTGTCAGCATAACGCCTTCGTTAGCGAACCAAAGAAAAATGAGAAACGGGGCAAAGAGAGAATGAAATGAAAACAAATTAAATTTATAGGGAACCATCTTATGATGTAAACCATAAAAAAAACCCCCCAGCAAAATGATATTCTTGGAAACTCAGTTCTGATTCTAAATTAAATTTATTAATGGTGTATACACTTTATTTTTAACTATAAAACTTGGGAGAAAAAAAAATGCTTTTGACGGCATTGGACCCACAGCAGATATATCGCTCGATCTCACCGCTCCGCCGCTGACTGCTAATAAGCCAACTGTAAATTAAATGATTATTTCAGAAATGGCTGTCACTGGTCACGCTCTTGGATTTTTGTATACAAAAAGCCTAAAAGGCGCGAAGATACGTTAGATCTGGTTTCAGTCAATGTTAAAATTAACGTTGGAAAACACCATACTAATTAAGTTACAACTCTTTCACGGGACCAGATGTTGCAATGTATTTAAGGTACATTTGAAGAAAAATGTCAATTCGCGTTAATACCTGTTGGGCTGGTGGCTTTTTACTGTTGATCAACGGTTGCCCTTTTTATTTTTCTATAAGTAAATTATCCAAATAGGGATTATGGATCGATTTTAAGGCTCCGATTTTAGCTCAGTACAAATAGAAACGTCATTATTGAAATAAATCTAAAATTTCAAATTCATTCCCAAAGAAAACACATTTTTTTTTCCTTTAGCAATAAATATAAATTTCAATTTCAATTCTTATAAAAATAAATTATCCAGACAAACAATATGACTAATTTATTAACTTAAAAATGTGTTATTTTTCAATTTAATTAAAAACCTTTTCAAGTTAAAAATTAATCTAATGAAGAGTGTGATAGTATCAAAACTATAATTTATAAGCCATATAAAATAAATCAATAATTAAATTAAAAAAGAGAACGGCATTGAAATAATTTTCCGAAAGCAGACAATTGTGTTAGTTTGTGTAGCAGACATGGCGAAGACCTTCCCGGCCTGGTTCAGGCAGAATTGTGCCGATGACCCCAAACGGGAGATGTTCATCTTTTACGATGACAAACTGACTCGCTCGAGTGTTCGAACCCATGAGCTGTTTACACTATCGGCCAGGTAGGTTCTTGTGGTGGTTAGGTCATTGGGGTGGTTAGGTTCTTGTGGTGGTTAGTTTCTTGTGGTGGTTAGGCTCTTGTGGTGGTTAGGTTCTTGTGGTGTTTAGGTACTTGGGGTGGTTAGGTTCTTGAGGTGGTTAGGTTCTTGTGGTGGTTAGGTTCTTGTGGTGATTAATTTCTTGTGGTGATTGGGGGTGGTTAGGTTATTGGGGTGTTTAGGTTATTGGGGTGTTTAGGTTATTGGTGTGGTTTGATTCTTGTGGTGGTTAGGTTCTTGTGGTGATTAGGTTCCAAGTGGTTGTTAGGTTCTTGGGGTGGTTAGGTTCTTGGGGTGGTTAGGTTCTTGGGGTGGTTAGGTTATTGGGGTGTTTAGGTTATTGGTGTGGTTAGGTTATTGTAGTGGTTAGGTTCTTCGGGTGATTAGGTTATTGTAATGGTTAGTTTCTTGGGGTGGTTAGGATCTTGGGGTGGTTAGGTTCTTGTGGTGGTTAGGTTCTTGTGGTGGTTAGGTTCTTGTGGTGGTTAGGTTCTTGTGGTGGTTAGGTTCTTGTGGTGGTTAGGTTCTTGGTGTGGTTAGGTTCTTGTGGTGGTTAGAATCTTGGAGTGGTTAGTTTCTTGGGGTGATTAGGCTCTTGGGGTGGCTAGGTTCTTGGGGTGGTTAGGTACTTGGGGTGGTTAGGATATTGGGGGGTTGTTCTTGGGGTGGTTAGGTTCTTGGGGTGGTTAGGATATTGGGGGTTAGGATATTGGGATGGTTAGGTTCTTGGGGTGGTTAGTTTCTTGGGGTGGTTAGGCTCTTGGGGTGGTTAGGTTCTTGGGGTGGTTAGGTTCTTGGGGTGGTTAGGTTCTTGTGGTGGCTAGGTTCTTGTGGTGGTTAGGTTCTTGTGGTGGTTAGGTTCGGGTTTTTTTAAGTTCTTGGGATGGTTAGGTTCATTGGGTGGTTAGGTTCTTAGGGTGGTTAGGTTCTGATAGTGGATAGGTTCTTAGTGTGGTTATGTTCTTTTGGTGGTTAGGTTCTTGGGGTGGTTAGGTTCTTGGGTTGGTTAGGTTCTTGGGGTGGTTAGGCTCTTGGGGTGGTTAGGTTCTTGGGTCGGTTAGGTTCTTGTGGTGGTTGGTATATTGGGGGGTTAGGATATTGGGGGGTTTGGTTCTTGGGGTGGTTAGGTTCTTGGGGTGGTTAGGATATTGGGGGTTTTGGTTCTTTGGCTGGTTAGGTTCTTGGGTTTGTTAGGCTCTTGGGATGGTTAGGTTCTTGGGGTGGTTTGTTAATTGTTGTGGTTAGGTTCTTGTGGTGGGGATAGATGGATAGATAGATAGATATATGATAGATAGATAGAACTTATTCAACGTTAACATATGCAAATTTAGTATTATTTGGTTCATGGTAACACGGCAGTTTAAAATCTCTGAATGACTCAGTTTCCTTTACGCACTAAGAGCATGTTTATATGCAAATTGTTTTCTTTTAAAGTAAATGTTAAAAACATTGTGATTTTCACGGTTCAACTGTGTACTTTCAAAAATGAATGTCCCCAGGTTCGCCCATATTCTGCACAAAAATGGACTCAAGCGTGGACAGGTTGTTGCATGTTCGGTGCCCATCAGTCTGGAGCTGGTGGTGTGCAACTTTGGCATCATGCTCGCAGGGGGAGTATTTTTAGACACAGAGATCACTGCGGAGAGTTCCGAGGCGTTCCGAGATCAAGTCAATCTGTGAGCTCTTCAATGTTTTCTTTTAGGCATACAATTCTTTGAAATATCCTGCATCGATGGAACTTCAGGTCATTGTACATGCACAGTTGAACAGCTTGCATGGTATACACAAGGTTTAATAGCTTACATGGTACACGCAAGTTTAACTGCTTACATGGTATAT